CTCACTAAGATACCATTACTTTACTTCCTCACTAAGATACCATTACTTTACTTCCTCACTAAGATACCATTTTAAATATTATTATATTGCACATGTACCTTATCTATTAAGATATGCAATTTATCACATGTATACACATATATAACATAACATATGCATGCATCCTTTTACGTTCATCATGTCTTTGCACATATATCATCCATGTATATTATTTTATCATGCATACCATTAGATATTCAAATATTAATCACGTATAATTTTACCTTAACCCAGATTGTCTGAAACCGGTTATAACACTCAGGGAAGCAAACCCATGATCTTAGCAGTTGCGGTTGAGCTACTCTCGAGATTAGTTGGATAGTTTATTCATGTATTGATTTAGGAGTATCAACGAGACATCTCGTTTGAAAAATATTGATGTCTAGAGGCTTCATAGGAACTCAAAGAGGCTTAGTAGTTGGAGATTCGTGAGGTTCTGCTCCATTTTCACAAACATAATGGCAATCGACTTCAACATGTTTTGTTTGCTCACGGAAGTTTAGTCTTAAGCATTTCATCTTATGATTGAAAATATCATTTGGCTACCAATCGGGCTTTTAATCGAGCAAGTGAGCCATAGGGATTCATGACTGTCTATATTCACTTTTAAACTGTTTTTCTTTTTTGTAACCATGGGTGTCTAAGAAAACCTGTAGCTTGACTAATTCACGGGACAAGTTAATGATCAGGCAAATATCTTATTGCTCTGAGGGGACTTGTTGACTAATGATGAACAAATTCGAAGCCAGACCAATTGAGTTAATTTTAAGGGTTCAATTGTATCCTTACCTGTTGGAAGATAAGGTAATTCCTAGAATATGTAGTACATTGTTTTTTCATACATGTCATCTCTTGATCTTGGATGAGCTAGAAACATTCGAAGAATACGATTACAAAGATATAGAGAAAATGACATGAACTGTAACACGTACAAGAAGTTGAGGGAGGGTAGAGAGCTGATAGATAGGGTAACAAACGCATACATCAGATGGAGGGATTGTGTGTTTCATTATGTTGTATATGTTTCTTTGTACCTTTTTACCCCCCTTTTTTTTAGTTGCTTAGTTTTTGTTGATCTTGGTTTTTCTTCTTTTCTTTTTGCTCCAGTTGAGAAATCTTTATTGAAACAACTGCTCCATCTTTAATATATTAATTCCACTGTTTCTAGAACTTTCTTTCGAATGAGATATATTAGCTTGATTTGGTTTTCTATTAACTACTTTTTTACATCATTATTAACTATTTTTTCTATCTTTTCTTTTTTCTTTTTTATATTATATATTAATTATTAATTTTATGAAATTTTATTATTAATGTGCTCAAATATAAAATGTTATTTGAGTTGTCTTTGTCGAGCTCCTTTAACCTATTCGAGGAATTGGTCCGGATCCATAAACAGTCTGCTTGAAAGATCCCGTAACAGGTTTGGGGCTCTGCCAAATCGGCCTAATCCTAGTTGTTCCCAAAATTAGTCCTAATTGTTATTGTTAACCGGTTAAACAAGTCCAAACCGGTACCCTTAACCGGTTAAAAATGCCCATCTCTAACTACTAAGAGTCACATTGCATTATGTGTATATGTCCATTGTCTTTGTTTTTATTGATGTATCTTATTAGGAAGATTTTTCGGTGGTATATAGTCATTGTGAAGGTAAATGGTCCATGCTTTCAGGAGGGTTTTAAAATAATTTGTAATAATTTAAACTCAGTGATAAACTATTTTAGGTTAATTATCATAAAACATTTATAAATTAAACCGAATTCGTACCCAATGATGCACTTAATTAAATCTAAACAAGCTATAGGGTGTTTAGAGTTATACATTTTCATATTGAGGTTGTTTCTCACATAGCTTCAGAAACCAAACAAGGTTCCTCTATTGTTAGTCCACAAAATAACATGTTATGCCTCCACCGGGTGCTATCTGCTTCAGCTTCAGCCACTCGAATTTTCAATATTCCTTTTTATATCTCATCAAACAAATGGCATCTTCTTATGGAAATCCTAGCTATTCTTAGCATGACATTGGGGAATCTCATTGCTATTACTCAAACAAGCATGAAATGTATGCTCACATATTCGTCCATAGCTCAAATCGGATATGTAATTATTGGAATAATTGTTGGAGACTCGAATGATGGATATGCAAGCATGATAACTTAGACGTCGCTAAAGATTCATTTGGTGTGAGTTTTATCTTCTTGAAGAATATTTATCCTTTAGAAAAGTTACTGTTTTTGTGATTTTTTTATTGTCAACGTATATTATGGAAATTCATTTATTTGTAAAGGATTACAAGAGAGAGAATGAAGTTACAATAAAAGAAATAACTCAACATTGAGAGCATATTAACTGACAAGAAATAAGTCAGAGAATGTAAGAGAAATAAAACTTGCAAGTACTTGTCTCATTTACTCTTTTCAGGGATTTTTTTCAGTTAACCAATGAATATATTGAAGTTCCATTCAAGACAAAATATTACAATGATTACAATTGGTTTGGTAAGTTTAAAAAATAAAAAGTATACACTGAAAGAAAACAAAAGTAGAGGGTTACAAGATCGAAAGGCTTTGTTGATCCTCTCTCTCAGTAATTTGATGATACTCTCTTTTCTCTTTCACGTTGTATTTATGTTTATGTATTTTCAGTTCCAGCGATCTTCACTGAGTATGTTCAGTGATCGCTGAAGAACTTGCTTTGTAAATCTATCAGAGACAGCAATACTTCAAGAAGACAACACTCACACCAAAGAACCTTCAGCAAATGTCGAAGACTGAAACTGAAGATTAGAGACCGGCGAGTACGTGATCTGAAGCGGTATTCAGTGATTACAAGCCTGTCTACATATGTGTGAAGACTGCTCTACCTTCAGCGAATGACGATGAGACCTTCAGGTCATTCCAGCATTCAACGATCAAAGGAAGCTTGCTTAGCACGATTGTTGTTGTCTTGTCCTTATGCACACAAAGGACAAAATCCATATCCTTACAAAAGTTAGTACGGTACGGAGCCGATTAGTCGACTCTTTGTCCACCAACTTTACGTAAGGATGTATGCTCAGAAATAGTGCTTTTGTACTATTCACTGTAGCAAAGGACAAGCCTTCCTCTTAAGGTTTGACACGCACTCTAAACCTACCATATTGCATTAAATGGACATTGAATGCACTGGTTATAAATAGAAGTGTTTCTACTCCATGCAGAGAGCGCGCATCTCTCTCTAACCTTATTTTTACTTCAAACATCTTATAGCTTAAGTAAAGGATCTTTCTTTTAACAACTTCTTTTCTTGTAATTGCTAAAGCTTTGTGTGTAACCA